ATTTGTGGATTATAATCAGCTGTGGTGTTCTGCATATCAGATTGTGTTGTGAATGAAGCACCATGCTTATTCTGAGCACAAAACAAAGGAGTAACTGTGGTTTTCTTATTTTATAAATTGTTATCAATTCAATTCACACTTGGAATGGTACATGGAATGTTAAATAATTAGAAAAACATAAAACAAAACACCTTCTCCTTATGACAAATATTTAATTAATGGTCCTAACATTTGGAATGTAAGTTGAGTCTCAGTTACTCAAAACTCAATCTTATTTGAAGTAAAGTTCAAAAATACAAGTGGCAAAGGTTCTGAAGTAATTTTCCCCCTTATCTTTTGTGGAAATCTGACCTAAAGGAGATCTTACATATAGCTGATATCTTGTTTTATTAAAATTCCTTAATATTTTATAAAGAATTAACTTTGAAATATTAGGGAAATCTTAGAAGGATCTCCTTGCTATAAGTTCCCAAATTGGTCTTGGAGTTCACTGAAGATACAAGCTCTTCAGTACAGTTGGTGATGGACCTAGGTTTAAAGTTTGTTGCCAGGAAATGTTATCCAGTTGTGTGTATTTCCTGACTTCATTAGGCCATCAAACCACACTGTACTTATAATTTTATTTCCTGAAGCAAAAGAAGTAATTTTAACTCTAGAGTAGTAATTCTGTTTAGCTCCTATGGAGTCAGTTATATTTCCAATCCTACTCTTTTAGCTAACTTTATGCTTTTGTTACGCTTTTAGTATTTGTTGAGTATAGTGTTGGCCGCACACTTACACTCACTTTCCTGGTCATTTATCTACCTGAGAGAGAGAGAAGAAGGATCACTACTGGTTATTGCTGCATATGTATAAACATATTTTTTTGTACAGTATTCTGTTGACTTTGCATGCCTCAGGCATTGATTTTAACTTTCAGCATGAGGTGCCTCTCATGTGAAAGGATGCCTTCATGGTCTGGCAGAGTCCATGCTTGGCAGTCCCAGGCCTGGGGAATCTGGGACTGCCAGTAGGACTGTTTTATGTACCAGAACAGAGTGTGCAAGTCTATTACAAATGGCATTGCTTATATTCTACCAAGAGTCGAATAGGCAGTTAATTTTTTAATTGTTCACCATTTTAATTGGAAAGTTAAAAATATGTGTATTTCTAATTTGCAAATTAGAAATAATATGTTCTCTCTACTATTATCATATTATTGACTGCTTATTATGTTTCAGGCACAATCCAAATCTTTTTACGTACATCTTCCACAGCTATCCTGTCAGCAGTTATTCCCGTTTTACAGATCAAAAAGCAGAGGGATCAAACTTACCCTCGGCCATGAAGCTAGGCCTAGATAGAGGTTAGGTGGCCTGACTTACTGTTTTAGAATTGATTTTACTTAATTTGATAAAATAATCTGATTGACATAAAGAAAGCACTTTTAAAGACTTGGATTAGTCTCAGAATGGCAAGAATAGAACCTTGGTTAAGATTTTACATACCTACCTACCTAAGTGAATCAACCTTTATATATATAATTTTTAATACTGGAATTGTGAGCCGTATAATGTAATATACCAAAAATAATGAAGGCATTTATTAGGAGAAATTCAGAAAACTCTTAAGCTGTACAAATACATGTAGTTTAATGAATATTGCTTCGATATGAAATTTCAAACTTTAATAATTTCTTGCCAGACACGGTGGCTCATGCCTATAATCCCAGCACTTTGAGAGGCTAAGGCGAGAGGCTCGCTTAAGTCCAGGCGTTCAAGACCAGTGTGGACAACATAGCGAGACTGTCTCTACAAAAAGATTTTTAAAAATTAGCCGAGTGGGGGCAACCCCTTTAGGTCTCCTCCCACTGAGGGAGCTTTTCTGTCCTCTCAATAGAAATCCTGCTTTTGCAGGATTGTACCCCACATCTTTGAAATAAAAAAATTAAAAATAAATATAAATGAGAAAATCCAGCCTACCAGGGAACAAAGGGATTGATAATGATTCCCAGCAGACTTCTTGTCCTGAGTCTCCTGAACAGGCATCTTCCCTCGTATTTATGATGTTCTATTACTGAAATGTGATGATTGGTTCAACACAGAGCTCTAAGTGAAAAGTGATTTGCTACGTTTTCAAATCTGGAATGAGCAGAATAGGTTGGTCATGCGAGTTGTTTTTAAATCATGTCACTTCATAAAGCAAAGCAAAAACTGGTACAGTGTTCCTTCTTTGTATGTTGGAACCATTAAAGATAAATCACAGATTTTAGAGTTAATGCATGGCAATCCCTTTAATTGTGTAGAAACCGGAAGATGGTTGTGTTCAAGGTAACACAACACACAAGAGCTAGAGTCCACACTGCGGGCCTCTTCACCCTGCTCCACTGTGTGATACCCAGTGTATTCAACCTGAGGGGAAAACTTCGGATTTAACAAATATTTGCTTATGGTCTCAAAAGTTTTTATTTTCAAGCTGTGTGTTTCTAGATTACCTAACATTAAATATAAATATTTTCAACAGAAAACCAAATACTTTTTATTGAAGAGGCAGAAAGGTGTAATACCACTAAATACTGTCTGTTAGGATAGCAATGCATTTTTTGTTTGTTTAACTTTAATTACCACTTTTCCCTCCCAAAAAACCAAACAAAACAAAAACAGAACTAGATAAGTGGATAAAACTCTGTAAAAAAAAAAAAAAAAAGTTACACTTATTACCTCTGAAATTAGAAAAATTTTCAGAAGAAGAATTGTTTAATTTTGTCTAGATGCTTATGGGAAGATCACCAGTTTTGCGGATAGGTGGTCCAGCTCCCACCTAGCTTTCAACTATGGACAGGTCCCTGGAAACCATCAATACAGTTGGGTGGAAGTATGTGGTGATATGTCACCCAGAAGACTGGCTCTGGCCACGAGGTCTTTCCTTCCGTGACAGCTGCCAGGCCACCCCCTGCTGTTGGTGGGGACTGGTCCCGCAGTGTCATGTGGTCATGTGGGGCCTGGTGCTGTCTCCAAGGAGCGTCCTGCCAAGTCTGCTTACTTGGTTCCTGATCTCAGATACTTCCTTTGCATGGCTTGTTGCTGTTTGAGTAGTAAAGTAAGGTCGAACTGTGTTTTATTTTATTTTTTATTTTATTTTAAAGATGCGGGGTACAAGTCAGGATTAGGTACATAAGTGGTCTACATACAGGTGACATTTGGGCCTTCCATCGTGAGCTGTGTTTTTGATCTTGCACCAGAAAGGCCTTGCTCTACCCGGCGTTTGTTCGGAGACCAGTCTTGTCTAGCCTACCTCAAAGAGAGAATGGCAGTCAGCCCTGGTTGTACCAGTGAGGCAGGAGGGAGAGGACCCTATTCCCCCTCTAGCCTCCTGTTTGTTTTGCAAGACTCAGGGTAAATTTTAGGAAATCCCCCAATCAGAATGGTACATGAAGAAACCTACCATTCTGAGATTTAACTTCTCCCCCGAGACCAGTCTGTGCATCTCCTGTGGGCATGTGCATCACAGGATGGAGAGCCCTGCGCTGTTCCAGCCCCCCAGCAGTGGCCCTCGGAGCTTTGCAGACTGTGGCTTCCAGCCAGAGCTCTTGCTCTTGTCACATAGAGGCAAAGCCAAGATCCACATTCGTGAGACCGACACCCATGCTTTTGGAGTTGGTCATAGAACTCAGTGCTAATGCATCAGGGTCTGCGCATGCATTTGTTACTTCATGATGACAAAAGCATTCTTTTTTTTTTTGAGTTGGAGTCTCACTCTGTCGCCCAGACTGGAGTACAGTGGCCGCTCCCGGCCACCGCAGCCTCTACCTGCTGGGCTCCGGCGATCCTTCCGCCTCAGCCTTCCGAGTAACCGGAATTACAGACGTGCGCTACGATGCCTGGCTGATTTTTTTATTTATTGTAGGTCTTGAACCCACGGGCTCAGGCAATCCCCTCACCTCAGCCTCCCAAAGGTACGGGATTACAGGCTGAGCCACCGAGCCCGGCTGACAAAAGCATTCTTACTACTAAGCTTTTGGATGTTGGATTGACTAAAGCAACTTATTAAAATTGTGACAAATAGAATGGCGGCACTTCTGTTCTGTCTTCCAAATAGATGAAAATAATACATCTCAGTAGATCATGTACATAATATTTTAGCAGTGGGGATTGGTTTGCATTAAGTCAGAATTTGTTTAAATGGGACTATTGTATGTACACAAATATGTTACTGACTTTACAACTTGGCATCTTATGAAGATAATGGCACATTTTGGTGAGTCTGACTTCTCCAAATCCTTTGCCAAGTAGGAAAGGGAGAAATTGCATGTTGATTTTATGGCTTTGCATGAATAGGCCATTTTCTTTTTGGTTAAAAATATGAAGAAAACATGTTAGATAGAGCTGTTTAGGGATTTCTCATGTCTTCCAGTAATAGAACATAAGCTATGCTGAAAACGTCCTTTATATATTTTAAAGGCAACATTCCCTTTGTTATGGTGGACAGGTGGGCACGTGTTGTAAACCTGTTTGTTTTAATCCCCCTGCATGTATGTGATTCATGATGTTTAGTAAAAGTAACATATCTGGTGAGAACTTTTGTAATGAAGACTATTCCACATACTAAAGTGTTGAGTTAGATGGGACAGTGAGCAAGCTTGTAGGGAACACTGTTCCGTTATAAGCTGTTGTCATACTTCTGTATGACTTACGCATATAACCCCATTCATTTGCAATTTTAAAGTACATAATAACACATTTGTTTTCAGGATTACAGCTCTGCTTTATTCAAAATGCCATTTTTTGGACCAAAATACCCTTCTTTTCTGTCCTCTGACGCGGCAGATGACTGGTGCAGGGACGTTGTGACTGAAAAGTGGCCTACACAGGGGTTTGAGAAGCCACGTGGCATGGCGGAGATTCATGGCGGAGGCACAGGGGCAGGAGTGGATAACTGTGCAGAGGCTGTTTGTTAGGAAGTCACGTGTAACTTAAAAGAGCTTTCAATCACTAGTTAATATAACTGCTTTAAATTTACAGACAGTGGGAGTAGCTCACCGTTACCCAAGTATGCCTCATCTCCCAAACCAAACAACAGCTACATGTTCAAACGCGAGCCCCCAGAGGGATGTGAGCGAGTGAAGGTCTTTGAGGAAATGGCGTAAGTAATGTCTTTTCTATCAGCTGGGACCTGCAAAGCTGTCAAGCTTTTCACTGAGACCAGTTGATTGTAGATGAATCAACTACTCTATCCAGCTGATAATGTGTTTCAAAAGCAAATTATGTAAAAAAAAGAAATTGAGTAGGCATGAGAGATCTCATTGCAGGAGACTTGGAGCCTATATGTCAGAAATGTGTAAGCCAGTGCAAAACCAGGAAATTTATCCCTACTACCTGAAAGAGCTATTTTTAGCTATTAAAATGTTTTCTTTCAAGAACGCAATTAATTGAGATGGCTAACTAAGACATTTAGGGGCAGAGTGACCAGTATGTGTGCCTAGACTTCAGGCAGGGTATTCTACAAGCCTGAGGGCATCAATCCCCGCCCCTGCAGAGACATCTAGCGTGTTACTCACTGAATGCAGATTTTCTGCCAAAAGATCTTTTTCTTTATGAAATTCCACCATGTATAAGTTAGAAATTAAGTCGGAAGAAGAGGTTCATGCTGCACACGGGCAAACAGCTCAGGAAGAGATGGGGGCCGTAGATGCTACCATTCCCTCATCCCTGGCGGGTGCCTACTTAAGGCTACCGTACTCAGCCCTGGCAGGGGACTGAGACCCATCTCGCAGGAGTGGGTGGCTCGGTCCTCAGAAAGGAGAGGGGAGGGAAGGCTTTGGACTCTGCTGGACTGGTGGGCTCTTGGAGCACCCACTGGCCTGTCCCTGTGTCTCTAGGAGACGTGTGTCTAGCGATGCGCGTGGAAGGATGCCCCCCAGCATGCTTTTTCATAACAGAAAAGTAATATTCTGCGTGATCTTCAGCCATAAAGCAGGTGATTTTCCCATGTTTCTGAATGATTAAAAGCAGACCAATGATCTCTGTAAAAAATGTGTCCCCCTGGTCCCCTGGAAAACTTTTTTATCTCAGACATTACCTCAGTGCTGTGTTCGTGAGTAATCGGCCAGCTGACTTGTGCTATGGAAGATGTTTACCTCTCTGTGTACACTGAACTCATCCCCTGCCATTCACATTGTAGCTGTTGTAGAGAACACCAGTGAATTCAGAACTGCTTCACTTGTAAACCTGATGTGTTTTATGGTTTTAGGTCTCGCCAGCCTATCTCGGCCCCTCTCTTTTCATGTCCTGACAAAAACAAGGTTAATTTCATTCCAACCGGATCAGCTTTCTGTCCTGTGAAACTCTTGGGCCCCCTTCTGCCTGCTGCCGACCTGATGCTCAAGAACTCTCCCAGCTCCGGCCCGAGTGCCACACTGGCGACCCTGACGGTGGAGCAGCTCTCCTCCCGGGTCTCCTTCGCGTCCCTTTCTGATGACACCAGCACTGTGGGCTCCACAGAAGCCCCTGCCCAGCAGCCGAACCAGCAGCAGCAGCTCCTACAGGACTTGCAGGTGGAGGAGCATGGCTCTGCCCAGAGCTACATGGTCATCTAGGGCAGGGGCTGGCCTGCCCCATGGCCTGTGGCTTGGGGACAGGGCCTTGGACATCTGCCTGCCTGCATGGAGCGATGAACTCTGAACACCATCACCAGAATACTTCTCAGCATCGGAAAGTATCTCTTGACACTGATCTTGGCAGGGACGGAACTCTTATTCAGCAGTTTTTGTGGAAAGCAGTAATGCTTGCAAAAACGTGTGTGTCATTCAGCATTTTAAGTGGAGACTATGCATTTCATAGTTTGTTTGACAGATTAGTAATGTGTCCTGTGTTTTGTTCCAAATTCTTCAGTATAAATAAGCTCTATATCAAAAAGTTGCCTGTCTAAATAGAAAACGTCTTGCTGTGTTTGTCCTATGGAAAATACTGTACTTCAGGATTATGTTTACAATTGATCCAGGTGTTTGTTTCTAACTTCTGTAATACATACAATGCAAAAAAAATGGCCACAACAGTTGCACAGTGTCCACCCTATGGCCTCGCTTCAGGTACTTCAGGTGAAGTCTAAACTCAGGTATCTTGGAATGTATGTCATAGTGGGGTGTGGACTGCTCGCAGCCACAAACTCACGAGGGAACAGCACTCTCTGCCTTTCCGTCTTGTATGCATTTTCCTTTCCTCATGACATTCCACAGCTTAGAATACGAAGTGTACTCACCTAGGAGAAGGGTAACCCTGGATGGGTGAGCATAAGGAGAACCAGCAAACCTGTGGTGTCGGACATCACCTTTGTCATGTGGTTACCAGTAGAACAACTGTTGCATTCACTGTTTTAACATGTGTAAAGGTGGCTTTTAAAAGTTTGGACATCCTGCAGTTAAGGACTGTTACAATGTTGCAAATCAATTGTTTAGGACTGTACATAAACATTCCACATCGTGTGTCATGAAGTTGGAGGACAAGAGTGTCTAGATTTAATTTCAGAAGAAGCAAAGTGTTTGACAGGGGATGGTTGGGATTTTTTTGTTGTTGTTTATGTTGGCCATCAGGGTCCCAACTGTTACTATTTTCTCTAAAGGCATATTTATGTTTAGCTTCTCTTTTGGAAATTCCTTAATCTGCATGTTAAGAAATGACATCTTTTTGGTGACTTTTACTCAAGCAGCTTAGGTGCTTGAGCTGCATCGAAGTGGACGAGAGAACACTTGGGCCTCAGAATCTGTGCAGCGTAAGTATGCAGGTTATTCGGTGACTTAAAAGAGCAGTAGTTTGAAGGTGTCTAATTTAAGCCTCTCTTAATACTATCATGAATAGTTAAGATTTGCAATGTGTGAAGTAGAGCATAAACCCAAGTAAGTAGCCTTGAACTTGCCGACTTGACATAAGTGCTCCACGGAGCTTGAAGAGAGCCCTCAAAGTTCTGATGGTCAGTGGGAGAGCTCCACCTTCCAGACGTCATGCTCTTCAGCACAAAGAGAGTGTCCAGAAGCAAAGGGAAGCTTTTGAGTTTTTATTCCAGTTTTTCAGTTCAGTGAAACCTCGAGTTGTTTCATCTGCACCTAAAGTGTATGGCACTATTTTCTTAGGAATTAGGGGAGCAAGGTGCCTACAGCTAAAGGAACGTTTCAGTTCCCTCCAGTCATTCCTGGGCTTTCTCTGTTTTGTTTATTTTCTAAGGTGGTCAAAGGAGGATGAGGTGATAGAGAAGAAAGCAACACCATTGATTTTTTTTAAAGAAGCGATATACATGTGTGTATATGTGTGCGTTGTGTATTCTGTGTATTACTTTGTCATGATCCAGTTATCTTCTTTCCACCAAAGTTTGCAGTAATACTCTCTCCTGAAGGTGCATTCTGGCTCCTTTAAATCAGTCAGTGTTATATTGTAGGAGATTGGCATGGGGAAAAGGACTCAGTTTACTTTTGCCATTTCCACAGGGGAACCTTTTAAAATATCTTCTCAGCAGCAGATACCTTTAACCCTAATAATCTCAGGCCTTGATGAAAATACTATATTTTGTAGATTATGGTTAAAGGGAGATAAATACTAGTTCCGTAAGATAAATATGAGCTCCACTGTACTTCTGATATCTGGTTTGGCATCACGTAATGTGTTGGTCTCATGCTCTGCTTTTGTCCAAGTATGATACAATAGTATCAACGTACACTTCAGAAAAATGGACTGAATATGCTTTTTTGGTGATGAAATCTGATGTATGATATTTATAGTGATATGTGCTTTTATTTTCTCATAAGGAACTAAATATTGTGTTGTACATTTGTTCTTAGCATATATTAAAGTTTTGAACCAAATGTGTTAAAGCTTATGCTTTGCCATGTAAATTTCCCAGAAGTTGTTGAGCTCAAATGTATCCTACATCCAGCTGTAGAAATTTGTCAGAAGTTGTTTAAATTTTGTATATAGTTGTACTGTTTAATTCTAGCCACTGTGTTGAACAGTATTTGAGTTACCATACAATATGGCTTTACACAAGGAAATGTGTGGCTTTTGTTTTGTATTTTTTTCAGTATAGAAGTTCCTGTGTCTTATTTAAATAAAATTATTAGTAAAACTGGAATCTTTCACTATGTCTTTGAAAACATGGGGGTTGTTGGTGTTTGACCAACAGAGAAGGATTCAGCTCAGGGTACTGGCAGCTTTTGGTGCTCACTGAGTTCCGACCTGCGTCTCTGAACTGTGGGGTGTCTGACTAGATTGTGTTTCTACAACCTGGTTTCCTCTCGACGTTTAATTTACACACTTTCCATCACAAGGTAAGAAGCTAGATGTCTAAAGTTCCGGTTCTTTGTACTGTTCCCAGCTATGATCACAGTACATAGAGAAAACATTGTTCCCACATCATTTTATACCTAAGAATTTATGAAAAAGAGTGTAATTCAGTAAAATCATCTCAAAGGAAGTTGCATATTTCTTGCAAAGAAACCGTAGCCATAAAATTTATTTTTTCACTTTTAAAAATGTGTTTAGATTCAGAATAAGAGGTAGAAAAGCTCTACAGAGCAAAGGCAAGTTGATGCGCTGCCAGTTGTCCCAACAGGGTTATGGTGTGACATGTGGTGGCGTGGACATGGGAACGAGCCTCTTATCGGCACTGGTGTTCATTTCCAAAGCACATCTCATCAAAAGACAGATAAGATTTGACCTTCTTATTAAACTCGAAAATGACTAGTAGCTGTGTTTTTGGCTGAGAAAAATAATAATAACCTTCTAATGGTGGGTGTATGCGATCTACTTGAGAATAATGAGAATTCAGGCAAGGAGTTTTCTACCCTGTGCGAGTTTACAGTCCATTGTGAGTACACATGTGGCAAGTGGGGGTCTTGGCCCGTCTCCCCCTCACTTGCTTGTGTAATAAACTATATAAATGGCCCTGAGAAGCAAGTTAATTCAGTATTTCCAAAATCAAATCCAGAACAAGGGGAGAATTAGGCCTAAGAACTTACATGTTCTCACCCTATGCTAATGACGCATAACCTGTGATGTTTGTTTATGAAAACTGCAGACAGGGCTTACCCCACTTCCAGTGTGAGTCTGGTCCAACTCTGAAGTTGCAACATCCTACATGCAACCCCTGCCCCGGCAGCTTCTGCCCTCTGTCCCTCGCTGGGCTTGCAGGGCTTCCTCCCCTTGTGCACGCTTTGGGCGAACTCGGGGTTCTTTGGAGCTTTATGCAGCTGAATCCCTGAACTCACACCTTGATTCAGTATCTCAGTGCTCCAGACAAGACCCCCACTCCAGCTGCTTAAAGAACATCCTTCTCAGACTCCTCAACTCATCTCCACCTCAGCAGAAGAAATGGACTTAGGACGCTGTCTTAACTTGTTACTCCAAGTCAGCTCTCCTCCTCAACATGCCTGGGCTTTTTATTTCCAAAGATAAGGACCAGGTTCTGGCATTTTCTCCACTGACTCTCTCAGCTGTGCCTTTCTGTCATCTTACCAGCTCACTACTAAATTTCAGGCTGCAGCAACACACAATGGTGGCCACGAGAGCCATGCCAACCAGATGAGGAAACAAAACCCAGAGGAGGCTAGACTTCAGTAGCCTCCATAGCTGGAGGTGAGGGGCCAAGTTCAGCCTCCTGCCTTGTGTTGTAGATACAGTCTCACTGGAACAAAGCTGGCCTTGTTTGTGTCTGTCTATCTGTAGTTGTTTTGTAGTACGGTGGCAGTGTTAAATAGTTGCAGCGGAGGGAGTCTGGCCCCCACACCTAAAACATTTACTGTCTGGTTCTTTTTTAAAGACTCACAAGCCAAGATTATGCCTAGTTCTTTGCAGAAAGAAATTGCTCACCTCTGTTTTAGACCAAAGAATAGACTAAAGCCTAGGGGAAGGTAATTTGTTACATAGGGCCAAAACAGCACCCCCCCAACACACACCCATTATCACCGCCAGTGTAACCTTCAGGCTTGCTAGGCAGTTCTGCCCTCCGGATCCAGAAAATGAAGCTTGCTGTTTTAGAATGGACACTGCTTGAAGAAAGCCCTCTTGGACTGGGTTCATGACAAATCTTTCTCATACAAAACGTTGTTTGAACAACTCCATGATATGATGCCCCTGCCATGTGCCTCAGAGTTCACTTGTCTAAGGCAAAGCCACCTGAGACAATCTAATGAGGGAAAATAAAGACCCTTGGAGGGAAGAGCTTTTTGTAGGAAATGGTCAAGAAGGGTGAGGTAGGTGGTCAATCTCTAAAGCTGAAAAGAAGAAAAAGGCAGAATTTCTCAAGAAAAATGAGAAATATTTTTATCACCAATGTCTTTGTTGTTTTCATTAATAGGAGGCAGGTGACCCACTGGGTTCTAAAATGACCAGTCTCGTTCCACGGGTATTTGCGTCTCTCAAAGAGGAGTAAAAATGATTTTTTTCCAAAGGTTTCAGATCAGTTTGGTGATGGACCCCCCCCTCATTCATAACTGCCATTCTCTTAACACCAAGAACTTGAACAAGCAGATCGTTTTTCCTCCAGAAGATGTCCTGATAGCAGGGAATGGGTCGCCTTTCACATGGCAAGTCCTGCCCAAGTCTTGGCCTCTCTCTGAGCTTGACTTTGATGACATTCCTTTAGTCAGAGTTGGGCACGGCTCTGCGGGCAGTGGATGTTATTTCAAACCACTGTCTGGGAGCAGGACGGATAAAGGTGGGTGTAGGGCCCCCAGGACCTGGCGAGTGGGGAGAAGGCTTCGTGCTGGAAAGACAAACCTCTCCTTGGGGTTTTTTATTCCACTTTGTAAAGGAAACGGGTTACACTCCCGGGACGGGAGTTAACAAAGGACACCGCTCATGTGCCGTGGTCCTCAGCCTGCCATTCCTCATAGAGGCTGCAATCAAGGCAGGCGGGTTGTCTTACCTGACACCGTTCACCCACCCGTCTGTGATACAGACAGCCACCTGGTGTGGTCTCTCCCGCCTCCCTGCCCAGCGACCGCCCTGAACAGGCCTGGGAGCTCGGTAGGAAGAAACTATTTCTTTTCAAACGTCTAGCCCTTAAGTCCTAGCCAGCACAGCAAGTCCTGTGAAGACATCAGGGAGGAAGAGGCGGCCCAAGGATAGTCGCCCTGGGGAGCAGGGTGGGGAGCGAGGTGGAAGAGTGCTAAAGGCCGCCTTCCCAACCTGGGCCCAGGTGGGATACTTGGTTTTCTCCTTGCGGCATATGTTCCCTTTGCAATCTTTAGTAAAAAGCGAAGAAGCAGGATGCTGATGGGCCCCCTCCCTCTGCCTGTCCACCTGCCATCCAGAGCAGTGGAAAGGACATTGCTTTGCTGACTGCCGCACGTGTTCCTGACATAAAGGAAAGGGACATTCAAGGAAGGGCTGCCATGAGAAGAAACGTCTAACCGCAGTCCTCAGAGCCGTGCAAATGAACACAACAGTGTGCAGCTTTTAAAATGGCAAAAAACAGCAAGAAGGATCATGCTTTGTGCTAAGGGAGGACGGGGTGTGGTCACTCCTACCTTTTGTCAGGAGGATAAACTGATCTAATAAGTGGGCAGCACTTACACCAAACGTGGAACAGCAGGTCACACCGGTGTGAGCACTTAGTTTCATAAAAACACACATATACGTGGGTTACAAAAGGAAGCGCATACACAGAATTACTAGCAGTGAAGCCTGGGGCGATCTTTCTTTAACATGCGCTTTCCTGTTTTTCTGTTTTCTCTGGTAGCCCCTGTTAACCTGGTACGGTAAGTCCCCCACATACGAACGAGTTCTGTTCCAAGAGTGCATTCGTTACTCTTACAGCACAGTACCTTGAAAAGTAGAGTAGTACAGCGCATGTACCAGCCGGCACACAGGGCCAGTGTCAAGTGAACAGGCAAAAAGGGTTACGGACTGGAGGAGGTGGGAGGTGGCAGAGCTGAAGGACCATCAGCAGCAGGAGACAGAGGGCAAGATGGACATGATTGGGCATGTGAACACATGTTCACAGCTTTGAAAGTTTGCAACTTGAAGGTTTGTGTGTAGAGGACTTACTGTAATTTGAGAGGAAATGCATGCTGATCTCTAAATATCAAGGGAGAGAAGAAAGGAAGAAGAAAAAGGAAATGGCTGTGGAAGAATTTGTTTTAATGGAAATGAGTGGTAGATCGCTTGAGATCTCAAGGTAGCTTAAGAGAAGGTGTGGGAGACAGAGCTTGGGCTCCATGAATCCTGATGCAATGACATCATTTTAGGCTTTGTCTCCTTTGAAACCCAGGAAAACATGGCTCCAACTCCCTCAAACACTAAGGTCACCAGGATTACATTATTTTCCGCCCGGAATGGGGTTGAAAGTGCCTTTAGGAAAGGCTGGAGTTTTTGAAAGGGACTGAGTGTTTCTGCAGGGCCTTCCACCTGTTGAGATGGGTTTGTGTTGTGATGGGTTGTGAAGTGGGTACCGGGAACCCAGAGGCCTGTTTTCTCATTTAACTTCTCGAACTGCCTCATCTAGAAATCGCAAGGGATCTCTTGCTCTAAGCACACTGTAGCAAGCCTGAAAATGGCCAAGAAATTGTTTTTGACTGTGATTCATATTTTTTTAAAGTCAGGGTTTTGCTCAGATGCCCAAGCTAGAGTGCAGTGACACGATATATCTCACTGCAGACTTGACCTCCTGGCTTCAGGCGATCCTTCCACCTTAACCTCCCAGGTAGCTGGGAACTACAGGTGTGCACCACCACACCCAGCTTTTTTTTTTTTTTGGTAGAGATGGGTCTTGCTGCATTGCCTAGGCTAGTCTTGAACTCCTGGCTGCAAGCAATCCTCCCATCTCAGCCTCCCAAAGTGCTGGGATTACAGATGTTAGCCACCATGCCTGGCTTCTAAGCACAATTTTTAGTGTAGATTGTCTGGCTTAACTTTTACAGAGATTGCCTGAAATAGGTGCCTTCGAGTTGGATGTTGACCCTTTGATCATGGAGGTGCTTGCCCTAGAATTTGTATTAGAGGAGATTGAATGAGGGTTGGACTGGCTAGCATGGATGTCTTGGTTGGGAATTACCCATGTACAAGACCCAGGCCTCCCTTGCTAATTGTTGCATCTGTAGCTGGCATAGGACAGAAGAACAGAGAATC